ATAAGTGTGCAGGCGCCATACTTCGCCACGAATGGATTGGGTCGACTGGAGTGATACCACACCTCATAGAAAGGCGGCGTGAAACAACACAGCGCAACGTTATGTTTCGCTGCGGGAGTGAAGTTACCTGAGACCCAATCCTTTTTCCCCTGCCCTAATTCCTAAATCTCTAAAACTCCAATCTTCAAAAGGTTAGCAACGCACTCGTAGTTCTTATAGCGTTGCGGGTATCCACGAGGGGCACCGATTGCTTACGATCAGGTAATCATTATGCTCCTTTGCGGATATATCACATAAAAAAGGAGAGTCAGACTCTTACTGAATAAAAACCACTCGGTCACCTCACCTTCTCCGAGCCAAGACAATGCGCTAGCACACACAACCCCAGATACGTTTCATCACTACAACTACATTGTAGATTTATTCAATTTGTAACATTATACTAATAAACTATTGTAAAATAATACTCTTTTACAAAACACATACAATAGCAGACAGTTGTATACAAAATTTTGATGTTCCCAACCAGAGGCTGCGAACAAACAATGGTGAAGTAGGTAATATGAGCGAGCTACGATATTAGTCTGCCCACATTTCGTGAACAACTCCACTCATGTTAGACTCTTGTAAGCTTTAATACTTTAATACACGTACCACGAAATTTCTCCAGGGCTGTGCTTTTTGATTTTCACTAAATTAGACGATTTAAAAACGGATTTTCGCTCGTATCAATCGTATCGTATTTAAGATAGAATAATAATATGTTATTTTAAAATTCTTATTAAGTCTTTTCTATTTTAATGAAATAACGGCTATCAAAAATTGAAAATAACCAAACTTTTTTTAAATAACATTTTTATTTTAGCACTCTGCTTTTATGCTTAATTTATATCCTTATTTATCATTATTAAAAATTTACCTTTTGATGCATTAAAAACGTATATTTTTATATGCAACGTATATTTTTATATGCTTCAAATCGATATTTGATATCTTAAAAAATATTACCGCTCATCAATACAAGAAATTAATTCATACGTAACAAAGTGACAACCCTATTCACACGTCTTTTAAACTCTCCATTCATTACTTAGCAACAAAGAACAAAAAACTAATAAAGCGACAGCGACAACCCTATCCAAACGTCTTTTAACTCTTGATCCGTTTTGTGATGTAACTATGGTAAGAAATCCTTGTCAGCGATACTGTACGTTCCCTGGCTTGAGCAGTCCCGGAAGCAAGCAGAAGGTTATATGGCTCGGCTATATATTGGTTGCGATTCGTGCCCGCGCGCAGTACAACTTGCGCTCGCGTCGATTCTGTGACCGTGAAAATTGTAAGTGTTGCGTCTGTGTTTTGTTTCTTGTGTAGTGTGTGTGTGTGTTTGGCATTTTAGTGATGTTTAATTTAGAATTTCGGTTTTTTTATTTATTTTTAGAATTATCAGTGATTGTTAGCGGATAAAAATTAGGTTTCAAGTGAATATTCTTCTTAAAAGGATTTACACGCTAAGACTAATAATGATGAGGTTTATTTTGAATAGGGTTTACTTCACATTAATTAAAATTTTTACTCGATTGTGATAAGTGACCGCCTCAGTAGGTTTTAACCATTTGTTTAAGAGAATACTGTTAGTCATGTTATTTTTTTAATTGCCTTTATTTCTTTGGCACCCACTAATAATATTTTCTGTTCCCTTATGGGATTTTCCTAACTCATCCTTTGAGATAGAAAGTCGTAGAGGCTAGAGCAATCCTATTGTTAAGACAAAATAATCCTCAGTAAATAAAAACATAAAATGTTCTTAAAATTAGAATTTAATGTCTCTATCGTGTGTCGCGGTGGCCCGGAGATAAAGGCGCTCGGTCTTGTGCCAATCGCCAATCTGCCATGAGCAAGCTTGCCTTTGCTCAGAAGTGATTACTTAGATACATTAGTATGGATAGTTAGTTGTAGGGAACAGCTACAAGCTACAAAGCTGAAACACGTGTAAAGGAATCACTACAAAGTATAAAACAAAGTCGCTTTCTCTGTCCCTATATCCCCACACTAGCTATTCTCTCGCGGTTTCACCCGCTACTCAGCTCCATATAATCATAGCGTGATGTTTTATAGCCTTCAGCACTCAGGAACATTGTAGCTATCTATCAGTGAAAGAATTTTGGCAATCCGACCCTCGGTTCCAAAGATTACCCCCTACATACAAACTTACAAATGTTACCTCTTTATAATATTAGTATAGATACGCTTAACTCATTAAAACTACGCAACGGATTATGATGCGGTTTTTTAAAGATAGACTGATTGAAGACGAAAGTTTACATACATATATGTATAATAATATTCATTAAATAGTAGTTAATAGAGCAATTTAGTATCAACATTGTACATACTTGAGTGAAGTTTAGAAAGGTCACTAGCATATTGATAAATTAATCCAAACAGGTACAAGACGAATGATTAATACAGGACTAAGTCAGTTGCCAGTTAAATTCGACAGAGTAATTCTTCTGTACAAGTTAATAATAACCACCCACACTTTCTTGTTTATCTTGAAGATAACTAAATTATGTACGAACTGAATAAATAAACTGAAGGTACGAACAAATTATTTTCTTTGATGAAAAGTCCAAAGGTTAAAGGTTAAAGGTGGCTTTTGTGGGATTTATTTATTTTATACACCTACAAATGTTTTTTTTTTTTGATGTAGGTAGGTAGAGTTGTATATTTTTGCTTAGTTATTCGTTACGCAGACAGGAAAATTAAAATTTATTTAGTACATAAACAGTCGGTAGCTGTCGTTATTTTTTTTATGTAATTTATAAAATGATAGGGTAGCAAACGTTTGTGGAACCGCAACAAAAGAGGAGTTACGAGTGCGTTGCCGTCTTTTTGAGGATTTGAGGATTGGGAATGGAATAAGTCCGTCGTCCGTATGGAATGAAATACACTTGAAATACCATATTGTTATAGTAGACTAGATCTTAATTTTATTTTTTAGTAACAACCCATACCCAGCTTCCCATGGGTATAATGATACTAAATATCTCTGCCCCTTAGTAGGTAGGTCAGAACTGAATCAATTTTATTATCTTATTTCAAATACCATTTGTCTTGTTTTTATAATAACTATCGTGAGACATAAAAAATAAATAAGAGCGCGGACGCGGCGACGTCGCGCACGCTGCTTATGAAGAAGAACCCCTCTGTGGTTCGAAACTAGTAGAGCTTTTCTCAATTACAAACGTGATCAACCCTTAATTTTTAGTTAATTTAGTATGTCGCACGATAGTTATTATAAAAAATATAATACTAGTTGATACAAAGCCTCTCTGTGTAAGATGTTCTTACATCTTGTGTTTCATGTAACAAGAATTTCTGGCTGTCCAATAATTATATAAACATCCGAATTTATTAGTATTTTAAAACTGTTACCTAGTTTAGAGAAAAAGAGTATGGATACTCAAAGTCACACTTTTGTGATTTTCTCGAGAAAAACTACAATTTTTCTGTTTTTATATACTTTATTTTTCTTGTCTTAGCTGACTGATATATTAAATGAGAGGTCGAAATTAATATTAGCCTGACTTTTCGATTCTTAAACCAATACTTTTTCCAATTCTAGTATGTTTTCCTGTGTTCTGTTTGAAGACGCACCGTCTGTAAACTTGTTCCATGCGGGATTTTTCAATAGGAAACATGTCAAATAATGTGCCAGTTCAATTAAGCTAACAGAAACTAAATCAGATCTTTGAATCAGGGCTAAATAGAAACAAATTAAAACTTTTTTAATTTAACAGCTCCCCTGTAGTGAGTAATCCACTTACGATTGAAATTAAATAACATCATTTTCGATTACTTATACGAAAATTAAAAAAGGTAGAGCGAGACTCAGGAAAATAAGTATTTGAACGTTTCTCATCTTAAAATAACCTTCTATTTCAGACCACAATGCGTTTCATCATAATTACCGCCGCCATCTTAGCCATGGCCCAAGCCAGGCCTGGCCTGTTCTTCGCTCAGCCGTACCAACCTATTGGAGTGCAGTACGTGTCAGCCCCATCAGCCATCCATCCTCATCCGGCAGTGGAACTAAATGCTGCTAGCGAGGCCCAGCTACCACGAGAATTGCTAAAGTCCAGGGACTTCTACGACAACCCTCACGTAGCTGCAGGGTTGGCAAAGGAATCCTGGTTTACTAACAAGGAAATGCAAGTTGTCGAAAGGGAAGCGGAGAAGATTCCCCGTGAAAGCATCTACCATATCGTTAAGAGCGCCGGATTCTTGGATCGCCATTAATTTGAATTGTAACTTATTGTATTGAAATAGAGTTGTGAATAGTACGTAGTCAATAAGTAATAAGAATACATTATGTAGTCGGGTTCTGTTTTTAACTTTATATGGATTGATTAAGGTTTATTTTTCTATTAGGTATAACAGGATAAGAATTTATGTCTACCTATCTGCGCAATTTTGTTTCGTGTATAATTTATTTATTTAAAGGGGTGCTATGTACATATTTTAATATTAATTTTCTATTTATGATTATGTATGTAGGTTTGAAAATGCTATTTTTATAAGATTTGTCAGTTCGTCACCTTGTCTAATTTAAGTATAATAATAAACAAATGTCTAGTTAAAAATAGATTTAAAATTAAATTAAGCTATTCTAAGTCATAAATATTAGAATATCTTCCAACATAAATTATAATTCTGTAATTTTTTAAGTGTAAATTTGTAAACAACTTATTTATGTTTTATTAATTTATGTAAATAGTAATGTATTGCATGTTAAGGTAAACTGGTTTGGCCTTGAAGGCATTAAGTAATATTAATAATAATCATAAAATTTATTATAAATTACCAATCTGTGATCTCGAACAATAAGTACACCGAGTAAGTTATTGTTCAATTATTATTTTTTTATATTTTGTAAATAGTAATACTAAAAATGTTATTAATTTAATATTAAAAACTATTTTTGATATAAAATGGCTGTTTTATGTAATAATCTTTTTAGCGATAATACAATCGGGGTTGAATTGTGGTCTTTTGAAGCTGCGTCCTCGTTTGCACGTTACCCAACATTCATGAGCTGGTTTTTGTATGAAATCTGGAAAGAAAATGTTCATGTCAAATAGAAGATTCTTAGAAAGTCAGTTAGAGTCTGATACTTCCTCTCACCTCACACTAGGCGAGAGAGGTATTTCTATGATTTCCCCTCAGAAAAAAAGATGATAAAAAAGTGCGAATAGAATACATAATAATAGTACCCACATCTAACAGTTTCTATGACAAAATATTTTTTTTTTGAGGAGCAAATCATTACAATGATTTCTCTCGCTCAGAGAATGGCGAGAATGTGTGTCAGACTCTTACAGACTAAAAATCCTCCTGCATTCCGGTCCCGCTCCAGGTGAAGACCGCGGCACCTTATCATCATAACATCGACCCTGTTAGGCCCCACCTGTAGCGTCTATGGCATAAGAACATGGTTAAAACACTTAAAACCTACCTACCTATATTTAGCATCTAAAAATATGTAGGTACGTAGGTATATAACGCGTCTTAAGTGTTTTATTTATTTCACAGAATATTGTATTTCAAAGATATCAGCTTCATCCAACAAAACCAGTTCAAGTAGACACTCAGCGCTTGTAGAAGTCTAAGAAAATAAATGGAAATTTGAGCAGTTTTGAGGTCAGAGCTAAGCGGTACTTGACACTTACTTCGGCTATTCAATACTATTGTCTATTGAAACTCACGTCACATCGTCTGTAGGAGTCTTTTTTTGTGAGGTCGACAAACGAGGCCTTTTACTCGATGCTATGCAATTGGCACCGCCCATGGACAACACAAAACGATTGCAATTTTGCAACACCAAAAGATTTACGAGTGCGTTGCCGGTCTTTTAGGGATAAAGGTTTCCGATATTTATTAAGGTGGACTTCAACAGTCGGTTCAGTAGTTTAGGCGTTAAGAAAAGAAAGACAGACAGAGTTACTTTAGCATCGCATAATATGTATTAGTATAGATTGGGAAGAGGTGAAGACGAGAGGGAGGGATTGGGCCTCCGGTAACCTCACTCACACGGCGAAACACAACGCTGTGGTTGTTTCACGCCGGTTTTCTGTGAGGCCGTGGTATCACTCCTGCCGAGCCGACGCATTCGCGCCGAAGTTTGGCTCACAATTGCATCTAAATGCGTTGCGTCGTTTAAAAGATTTAAGCATGCATAGGGATATAGGGATATAGAGAGAGTGACTTTGTTTTATACTATTTATTGCTCTACCTACAACTCGATTTATATCTAATTGTTAATGTCTCTTAAATATTTCTTAAACAATTAAGCTTTTATTTCTAAGACAATTTGTTTAATTTATTATTGGGTTTTGCCTTGTAAAATAGTAATTTAATACAAAAATAGATCCTATTAAGATTAAGATAACATTTATTTTTGGTTAAACGATAACCATATTCAGATGAAAGTGAGTTAATCAGCCGAAGATAATTAGAAATCATTTCTTTGACATGTCTCCAATATTCTCAGTACCATGAATTGTGAGTTTTAAAATAGAAGCATGTTTATAAAGCTCCGTTCATATGTTAATACACCCTTTAATTTTTTTTATAGACTATACGTAAAAATTAATAATTTTCAGCTAGTTAATGAGAGCTAGTATTGTTCTTTATTCATATTTGAGTTCACAGCAATTTATTTTTTAACTCTAACATATAATATGTAAGAGTTAAATAATATAATATATGTATACCTACTTGAGCATTCAAATTAGATTTGAAGCTGAAATAAAACCTAAGACTGAGAATTTTGAGTAAAAGAATCACTACATAGGTACCTAGTATAAAACAACCTCGCTCACTATAGTCCTATGTATCCTAAATCTTTCAAACTATGCAACGTATTTTAATGCTGTTTTTTATAGATAATTAGCTCTCACCCGCGGCGGCGCTCCCGTCATTTGAGTACCTACCCTACTCTACCTTTCCTTCTCTACCTACCTTACTCTACCTACCCTACTCTACCTTCCCTACTCTACCTACCCTACTCTACCTAACCTACACTACCTACTCTATCCTATCCTATGTCCTTCTCCCAGTTCTTAACTACTACTAACTCCCTACGAATTTTCAGCCAAATTGGTTCAGCCGTTCTTGAGTTATAAATGGAGCAACTAAAACGACTTTCTTTTATATTATACAGATGTGATTAAAAAGGAAGGTTTATACGTATAATAACCTCAGCCGTGCAAAATTGGGGCGAGTCGCTAGTTTGAATATAAAAGAGTGCCATCCCGTTTAAAAACATTCCTATACTAATCATGATCATTCATGAGAATTCATGAGAATGATGTCAAGTATAGGGGCGAAGACAGATTTTACAAGAAAGCTATTTGAAATATTAGAATTATTCGGTAAATGTATACTTCTTAATATTATGTAGAACATTTAAAAGGTAAACGATTGTAAGTTTATTGACCTGTCGCCTTTGCTTTGAACTTCGTGATGCCGAAAATAACAATTTCTGCTTAAACGCTTAAAAGCTATTTAGATCCCTTTCTAGTTGGCAATTGACGCATCAATTAATAGATTCAATATTAGATATCTATTTAAGAATGTAATTTGAAAATGTTCTTTTTAGTTTTTGATTATTTATATTTTGCTCATAAATAGAACTCATAATCTCACTGATGATGGGCATTTTATCATAATCATACACTAGGTGTTACCTCTTTAGTTTATCTATTATTGCGTTGAATTAATTATTATAACGTGGTCCACCTTAATTACCTACCACATAGAGGGATGTTTCAACAACAAGAATCGTTGTAATAAATTTCCTTCGTCGGAGCTCGGCCCAGAGCAGGAGAAGGAACGGAGGGTTTGCGGGAGAAGCAATTTTCCCCTCACAAAAAAAAATAAAATCTTGGTGGATCCTTCACACAAGAAGTATCTTATGGTGAGAGGTTCACGATGGAAATCCTTGCTTTCCAGCACGTATGGACTGAATCTAAAGTTTAACCACAGCCTCAGAAAATTGCCATGAAACAATGTTTTGTGACATGTGGCCCGGAGGTTAAGGCGCCCGCTTCTCATGCATGAGGGTGCGGATTCGAAACCTGGCAAGTACCAATGTGACTTTTTCCGAGTTATATGTACTTTCTATGATTATTTAGACACCACTGACATACGGTGAAGGTAAACATCGTGAGGAAACCTGGACTTATAATTTATAATTATAAGTCTTAAATCGCCAACCTGCATTGAGCAAGCGTGGTGATTAATGCTCTATGTGCCTTCTCCGTGTGAGAAGAGGCCTTTGTTCAGCAGTGGGCACTTATAGGCTGACGACGAATGTTTTGTGAATCCTCAATGGCTTGCAGAATACTCGTTACTCATCCTCTTATGTGTCCATTGCTGGCGTCGATTGCTTTCCACCAGGTATTCCATCTACTCAATTTCCCACCCTATCCTATCAAAAGGTTGAGTTCATTATTCCTACCTTTTTTGCTATCACAGTTGAACTCATGCATATCGCAAGTATCAATAAACGTCCTCATCTCTCCGCAGGAATCAATGCCACATATCGGCACTTGATCATGTCGGCAGATGTCTGCTATCTTGCATTCTTCTTCCAACTGCAAAATTTGGTATAATAATATGATTAATTTACATACAGCTAATTTATATGGTGCAAATTTTATTTTGAACTGCGCCAAACCATCTATACTTAGAGCGAGATGGCAGAAAATTGTGAAGAAAACCCTGTCTATGCCTTATACCTTATTATGCAGTCATCTTTAAGTGATCGTGACAGCTCTGCCAGGAACGAAGCGAGAGAGAAGAAAAGAAAAATCTAATTAGGAGAGGAATAACATAGTCCAACTGTAAAATGGGTCATATATAGGTGTTCACACGCACACGAAAAGAGGTTTCCATACCTATAAAATAATCCTCCCGAGCGGCGTCAGCATTGTCTGTTATGCTGACGACACGCTGGTGCTGGCGAACGGGAGGTCGCATTAGGCGGCGGCCGACCTGATGTCACAAGCGGTTGCGACAGTCGTTGCAAGGATCCGGCAGTTGGGACTCAAGGTGGCGCTCCACAAGTCCGAGGCCATGTGTTTCTATGGCCGTCGGAGCGCGCCACCTCCAGGTGGGTCCCAAATAACGGCAGGAGGAGTTACCATCGGCGTCGAGTCGGCGATGAAGTACCTGGGTCTCGTCCTCGACAGCCGATGGAACTTCACGGAGCATTTTCGTCGTTTGGCCCCTAAGTTAGAACGGTCTGGGGCCGCGCTCAAGCGGCTCCTTCCCAATCTCGGGATGCCAAACGCCTCCTGCCGGAGGTTGTATATGGGGATTGTGCGATCCATGGCCCTCTACGGTGCCCCTGTGTGGGCGCCGGACTTGAAGCGGCGGCCGGCTCGTACGCTGGTCGCGTCCCAGAGGGTCATGGCTATCCGAGTAATCCGCGGGTATCGCACGATCTCCGGGAGGCGGCGAACCTCCTTGCCGGATCACCGCCGTGGGATCTAGAAGCGAAGGCGCTCGCGCGCGTCTACAGTTTGCGCGCAGGCGCGCGTCGCCGGGGCGAAGAGCCTCTGCCGCGCCAAATTAGTGCGTGGCGGAATGAGCTCCGGCGAGATCTCATGGCAGAGTGGAAACAACGACTGTCGCAACCGAGGGCCGGGCACGCTACCATAGCAGCGGTAAGACCCCTCTTTGAGGAGTGGCTTGAGAGACGCCACGGCGTCCTCACCTTCCGTCTGACGCAGGTGCTTACCGGGCACGGCAGCTTCGGTAGGTTCCTGTTTCGGATTCAGCGGGAGGAAACGCCCGAGTGTCGTCATTGTGAGGACCACCTGGAGGATACGGTGGAGCATACGGTAGCGGTATGCCCTGCCTGGGCTGAGCACCGCCGTATCCTCAGGGAAGTGATCGGCGGCGGCGACCTCTCGCGCCCGGCCTTAGTCGAGGCCATGGTGCGGAGTGAGAGGAACTGGGACGCCGTCTCCTCCTTTTGTGAAGCAGTCATGCTCGCAAAGAGAGAGGCGGCCCGCGTGAGGGTGCAATCCTCCTCCTCACGCCCCAGCAGCCGCAACTGGCGACACTACGGGCGTCGGGGATCGAGGGACGATCTCCGGCCACCGTAAGTACGGGCCTGCGGTCGGCGAGTAAGGGCAGTTCGCCGCCCGACCAGAACCAGGCCCGAGCGTACGGCGCGTAGCGTTCCGCGCGCGCCTCAAAGAGCCATTCGACCACCACAGACGGGGCCCTAAAGGGCTGATGTTCAGCCGGGGTTGCGGGGTAAGCGCAATGAGGTACCGCGACCTCGGCACAGAGCAGGAGAAGGAACAGGGGGGTTTTTAGTCAGTAAGAGTCTGACACTCCCTCCTGCCCGGCCCTGGGCGGGAGAAGTCATTTGATGATTTTCCCCTCACAAAAAAAAAAAAAAAATACCTATAAAATAATATCTATTAATCGGTGGATAAAATTGGTATCAGCATCGCACCCGTGCGAAGCCGAAGCGCGCGGCTAATAATTCTTAGTAAGTAGTTTTTATTCAACAAGTCTCTTTAGTGAATCCTATTTGTGTTATAGTAAATACTTACCTTTGCGCTATCAACATGACCAGAAACATAGTCCACGACACAAAGAACAACAATACAATAAACAAAAATCTTTAGGAACATTCTAGAATAAAAAGGTTCTAATGGAAAACCATTTTTTCACATTCTCCAAAATTCTTTCACTCGTTTCAAATGAAAAGTACGAAAATGAAATTTCCTCTTACCTAATATTAAAGTGGTGAATGTTTTATGGAAAGCAATAAAATGCTTTGAAAACTTTATTATAGTTAGTTCGTTCAATTGAAATTGTTTGATGTGAGACCTACAGATAGTTTATTTCGCATTAAATTCACGTTTTCACTTGTTTTATACGAAGTTTTATTTCCCTGTAGAATTGGATTAACTAAAAATGTTCTACTTCAACATTTTGCTTAAAATAAATAATTAAAAAAGATGGATCGCCATCGGGAGTTGGTATTTCAACATGAAAACATAGGTGGCACAAGTACTTAATTACAGTACATGATAAGCTAAAATTGTGAAGGTATTTTTTATGAACATTTAACGATTCGAAAAGAAATCTAAAATAAAATCAAGAGAAAACTACAAAAAAGCAATTCTACAATACGTGGAGTGTTACCACGGCCCTAGATACAGAATGCCGTGAAATCACGCTTTTGCAATTTCATCGAGAAGTTTAGTTACCGGAGGCCCAACTCTTGACCCATCTCCAAATCCCTTGTCCTCAATTCACGAGCGAATCAAAAAAGGGTAATAACGTACTTGTTAACCCTATGGTGACTGTCCATGGGCGACACCGTTTTTTGTTAGCTATTAACGATTTAAAGATAGGAGATTTGAGGTTTAAGGATTGAGGATGGGGGTAGGATTGGGCCTCCGGTAACCTCACTCACACGGCGAAACACAACGTAAGTGTTAGTTTAACCGGTTTTCTGTGAGACCGTGGATTCACTCCGGTCGACCCGGCCCGTTTGTGCCAAGCTTGGCTCTCGGACACTTTAACACAATCTTATCAAAGATGTTCTTAGGAATGAAACAAAAATTATTGTTATTATTTATTAGAAAACACTAGCGTGTCTTCGTATTCCCAGGCTTGATATTTTTGCTGCAGTCTGAGTACTCTGCCCTCTTAAAGGAACGACCTCGCTTGCACGTCACCCAGCATTCGTGTATTGGCCTCTGTTTGAAATCTGCGAAGTCAAAATCATTTCTTTTTTTATTACCTGATGGTATGCAATTAGCGCTACCCATGGACACCCGCAACATCAAAGGAGTTACGACGCCTTTTAGGGATAAGGGTTTCTGATATTTAAGGATTGGGAAGCGATGGAGGAAGGGGGGGGGATTGGGCCTCCGGTAAACTCACTTACACTCATGCTGGTTTTCTGTGAGTGCTATCACTTCGGTCGGTCGAGCCGACCCATTCATGCAGAAGTTTGGCTCCCCAACACTTCGGAAGACCATTATTGTTCCAACTAACCCATTAATAAAATAGTAATCGTCAAAGTATAATAATAGTCTGTCAGTCTGTTCGTCAGTAAAGCTAGGCCTGTTCGTTAGAAGAAGGAGCAAGTCAATTCGTATCTCTTTTTTACTTATAAGTTTTAAAAGTTTACTTACATAAATATGTACATATTATGTATTATTATACCCATAGGTATGTGAGAACAAAGCAGAAAAGGTTTGTAGGTATACTATATACATTTGTATATATAGTAATACAAAAATAGTATATAAATACACTTTTTTTAAATATTTGTCTGTCTGTCTGTATGTTTGTTCCAGCTAATCTATGAAATTGTTGGACCAATTTGGTATTGTTTCATATGCTCTACAACTCATCATAGTCAGACAGGGAAGACCCATTATAATGGTTTACATAAAGAATTGTTCCATGCAGGAATCGCCCGCGATAGCTTACGCTGATCGTCCAGATAAAGAAAAAAATACTTATTACTTATTACCTTTTTTACTGTCGCAGTTAAACTCATGCATATCACAAATGTCTATAAAAGTTCTCATCTCGCCACAGGAGTCGATCGCACACATCGGCACCTTGTCGTGAACACATAGATCGGCTATCTTGCATTCTTCTTCGGTCTAAAGGAAAGAAAAGCTGTTAGAATTTTATTACGGGATTATTAAACTGATTTTGTTATGAGGACAATATTTTCAAAATTGTACTGAACCGTGTCGTGGTTGCACGGAGGATAAGGAACCCGCTTCTCATGCATGAGGGTGTGGGTTCGAAACCCGGCAATTACCAATGGACTTCTTCCGAGTTACAAGCACTTTCTATGATTATTTAGACACCACTGACATACGGTGAAGGTAAACATCGTGAGGAAACCTGGACTTATAATTTGTAATTATAAGTTTGAAGTCGCCAACCCGCATTAAGCAAGCGTGGTGATTAAAGCTCTGACCTTCTCCGTATGAGAAGAGGCCTTTGTTCAGCATTGGGCACTTATAGGCTGATGATGATGATGATGACTGAACCGTATTTACTAACTAGTTATATTTAAATATATTTGTAGTAATGGCCTAATAAATACTGATTAATTAAGAAATGCGTATCAAAAATTGTATATCTTATGAATCATAGCTTTATCTTGAAATAATACTTTTCCTTCTAATTTTGTTTAGTATTTTACTACAGGTAACGACTATTTTAAGTGTGGGCGGGACATGCTTAATCTTTTCCCTTATCCATCATTTCCTAATCCTTGAATCCTCAAAACTCCTTATTTCCCATAATCCAAATCCTACAACGCACTTGCAACTCCAACAGTAGTTGCTTACATTGCTTACCATCAGGTAATCCGTGTTCTCCTATACAGCGCTTTACACAAAATACAAACAATTTTCAATTAATAGTTAAGATTACATAAAACTCTTAAGCCGTTTCTATAAAAAGATCTTCGAGGGCCCATTCCCTTACGGACTATAAACCAAGCTTTGTGTTTAAAAATGGATGAAATGCGGGTTCGAGACGTGTTGGTGCTAAATATGTAAAGAGAGAACGCGTTATATATTTACACTATCTCTTATTACGTACTACGATAGCCCTTTAGCTTCCGAATTGATTTTAGAAGAAGTTGATAAAATATGGAAATATTTTGCGCCCTGCTTTGAGTTCCGATATGTTTGTAGATAATATAATTATTGTTTTAGAAAGATTTTAGAATTGCTGAATTACTTATATATATATTTGACAGGAGAGGGGAGAATGAATCATAAACAAATCACTTCACCCACTCTTACAGGGCCTCGAGTCTGCTATTACAATAGTGTCAGAATAGTAGATCATTGGTTTCAAAATTGTTGATTTTGACAAGTTTGGTAATCTACTAACACGAGCGTCATATAACTTTCCAATGATCAACTAATGCCACTTCATTGAAATATAATCCAATACTGAGCCATTTTGAATTAACAGATTACGAACTTTTAGCAAAATGACAATGGAATCGTGTAGGAATGACAACACTTTGAAAATAGTAGACTTGGGCCCCTGGCTAAAAACCACATCGCTCCGTCTCCTAGTTCGGACTGCGGTATAAAAAAGACGTGATTTTAGATTTTAAATTAGTTATGAACTTACTTTTATACTTTCGCTATGAGCATCTACCGATGATATTAAAAATATCATAATACCTGAAACACAAAATATGTATGTATTAACTTAAAATTAGATAAGTACAGTAATAATTATTTTTTTCCCAAAAATTTTTGCAGCCCAGGTGTAGAAGATCATTCTTTTTTAACATAATATGCTTAAACATTAAATCAGGTGGGTTAATAAGATCCCGAATTCAACAATTTTGAATATTTTTTTATTAGTTTAAAGTACATCTTTGTATGCATGTTTATGCGAATTAAAAGTGTATACAACAGCTAAATAGACTTAGAGAGAAGTCATTTGGTTATTTTCCCCTGACAAAAAAAGGCCCCGTCTGTGGAGGTCTGTTGGCTGTTTAAGGCGCGCTACGCACCAATAGTTCAGGTTGGGCAGCGAGCTACCCTTGCTTGCCTACCGCAAACCCGCTTATGGTGGCACATTATACGTACATTGCAATGCAAGGCAAATTTATAACAGTTTGCGAAAAAGAACTCTAAAATGGAATGAGTAGAGTCGTAAAAAATAACTGGTCATTTTTAATAGCAGCTACCTTTTTTTTGTCATGGGAAAATCATCCAATGAATTCTGCCGCCCAGGCTAAGGCGAGAGAGAGTGTCAGACTCTTACTGACTAAAAACCCCACCGTTCCTTCTCCCTCCTGCTCTGGGCCGAGGTCGCGGTGCCTCATTGTGCTTACCCCGCAACCCGGGTAATAGCAGCTACTTAAATGGCTTTATCTGGTAAGTAATCATAGCTAACATGAAGTGTCTCGTATTAGTTAAAAATAATTGTATACGGAAAGATTTTTTATATGAAACTCACCTAAATATGCTATCATTGTTTTGCATCATGTGCATGGTTCCCTTAGCGAAGTACACATTTTGATAAGCTTCAAAATAAAAAATGAAATAATTTCTCTTTTGTGTTTATTACTCACACATACACATAAAAATATCGTAACAATTTTACTGTTTCTGATATAATATCGGAAATTGTTAAAAAAACTCGTCAATTCGATTGAAAACAATTTGGTATACTACCAAGTGAAGAATAAATTATTTTCTTCGTTTTTATTTCAATGCAATAAGGTATGAAGTAAAAAACAATCTCAATTTTGGTTAACTATATACTCATACATACATATACATAGCATTACTTTTCAAGAAATAGGTATGCTTTAAGTTGAAATTTGCTGCTTTTAAACCCTTACAAAATATGGTATGTTTATAAAACTCGCAATGTAGTCATAAAAAAGAAAAAAAAAGAAATCCATTATTTATTAAATACCGAATTGCTATTTGATATTAAGATAATAATAATGTACCAGTAATTTACTAAACAAGAATAGAAACTAATAAAAAGATCGACAAACAATTTTAAATCTCTATTTGTTTATTGAAAACTAGCTTTTGCTTGCGACTTTGTTCGCGTGAAATAGTTATTTCCTGAATTTTTTGGCATAAAAACTATCCTATGTCCTTTCTCGAGTTTCAAAATATGCCTGCACCAAATTTCACACAAATAGGTTCAGTAGTTTAGGCGTGAAGAAAAGACAGGCAGACAGAGTTACTTTCGCATTTATAATATTAGTTTGGATTTGAATAACACCCTACTCATGTTAATTAACTGAAAAAAACTATTTATGATCATCTTTGTGACTTGAAACTATAGCTGAGCTTTTACTCAATTAATAGTCGTGAATAAGACGTTGCATTACATTTAGGGCTGATTTTTCAATGGTCAGATAAATGTTATCTGAGCGATAAAATTGTTGCTGTCACTGTCTCATACAATCATTCTGACGCGACAACATCATAATTATTCTCCCGGTAACTTTTATCCAACCATTGAAAAATCAGCTCTTACCTTCAGCCTTATCTCACACACCTACTATTATTTATTATAAATGCAAAAGTTACGATGTTTGGATGTTTGTTACACAATCACACCAAAACAGCTCGAAGAATCTGGATTAAATTTGACAGGTACACATACACTCTGGAATAGGACATACTTAGGCTACTTTTTGTCAACATGACACGCGGGCGAAGCTGCGGCGAAAGCTTGTATGGTACATACATTGTTAAATAAATAATAATTATAAAATAATGGAAGACGTCATATTTTACTCTAGTAAGTATGGGTATACATTTTTTTTACATTTATCATAATGAAGAAATTATTAAAAGGGATGATTTTAATTTAGAACATAATATAAAAGATTCAAACAATCAATTTTATCTGGCAATATAAGTCTTCTTCTTTGATTGTAGAGTTATCACTTGCCTCTCTGCAAGTTTCTTGGATCTGGACATACGCCTTCTTCATCTTTCACGTGGCGGAAAACTGAGAAAGAAAGAAATATGACATAGATGAACATCTTATACATACTAAAATTTATCAAATCCATAATATCATTTATCAACAAAAAATCCAGTGTTTTATGTGGACCCTCATGGACAATTTAGGTTTGAGTAATATGTATTTTAAAAAAAGTAAGACAAAAAATGTATTAGTGGAAAAATAGAACAAATAAGTAGTAGTTTTATATTAAATAGAATCTCATACATTTTACCGAATCGGTGCACATTCAAATATTGGGCTTAGGACTTATGATTATTGGACTATTCTATCTCTCGCACAATCTTTCTGTCATCAAGAAATTCCTTAGTACTACAATAACATTTGCAAGTGCACATACATTCACACACACACACATGTTGAGCCTTATATATGGTGCTCTATTGGATATTTGTAAAAATTATATTTTATGCTTAATTAAATGTGCAGACTTTACATAACCTCTCTATATTTTTATGATTTAAAGACGTTATTTAACATAATACACACCCATATTGTGTTCGCAGGAATATTCATATAAATCGCACAAATCTAAGAATGTTCTCGCTTCGTTGACGGATTTACCGCAAACGATGACCGTATCGTGGAAGCATTCGCACGCATTATCACAAGCTTTCTTCAATTCTGCCTGAAAATGTATTAAGATGTTTTAATAATAGCAAATATTTGACTTACTTGACTTAATATCCTGTGTCCCCTAGATGGGGCAGAGGGCGTCTACTGAAGTGAGTAAATATTTACTCCATAAAAATTATTAGGTTAATTTGTAATATATTAATATGGATTACTAGCTTCTGCCAGCGGCTTCAATCCGATCTCTACGTTTATTTCCGTGCATGAAGCACGGAACGCACTAGTCTTTTTAGTACGACATTTTGGACCCCTATAGCAAAAAAACTTTACATTACGCTACCAGCAAAAATAATCTTATAGCGGTCGGTAACTCGAAACAGAGAGGAAGTAGCTTTGACACGAATGAGTTGGCTCAACTCTCAGAAAATCTGCGTAAAACAACCACAGCGTTGTGTTTAGCTGTGTTAGTGAGCCCAGAAGCCCAATTCCTCCTCCTACCCATTCCTAAAATCTCCAAATCCCTAATCCGCAAAATTTTGGCAAACCCACTCGTAACTCTTTCGTAATTGCAGGTATTTGCCATGGGCGGCGCTGATTGCTTACCATTAGGTAACCCGACTGATCGTTTGCCACACACAAAAAACATGGCATATAAATAATAATAATAAAAGAAGCTTACAATATGGGCTCTGTCACCAACCAAATGAGGATCAACCAACAATGGCGGTATCACTAATAACAATAATATAGTCTTCATTATTATAAACATTATAAAATAAACACTAATGGACTAAGTTGTTGATATCTGTGGCGAATATGAAGCATTAAGACTTGCATTGTTGATGAAAACGTTGGGACAATCACAGGATGTTATTAGTATTAGAAATAGTTTAATAATGCAAAACTTGGATGGAAATTCTAAGCATTATTATGATGTTATATAGCAAATTGTTACGATGAAACGAAGGAGTGAAGCAATCAGGTGGAATATTGGTTCTTGGGTTCACAGAAAATGACCTGAAGCAACGCTTATGTTGAAGTTGCTTAAGTTGAAGTAGTAGTGTTGTGGTTTTTCATGTGAATCAGACCAGACCATGACCTGAAGACCAATCCGTGCCCCCCATTCCGAATCCCCAAACCCACAATATGTACTTAAAGTTAGAGCGTCTATGGGCAACGTCGCTGAAAGGCCATCAAGTGAACGGTTTCACGTTTGTCGCCATATGTCTTAGAATCTCGTAAGATATACATTTCAATAGATAAAAGCCGTCTCGACTGAAATGATCCTAATAACCGGATAGATCAATCACTCCAATTCTTCTTCTCCCTCCATCCTTACCCAACCTATAGTTTCAAAATTCTGAAACTCCCAAAAGGCCTGCAGCCCAATTGTAATTCCTATGGTGTTGGGTGTAACACAGGGCGGCGCCGGTTGCCTGCCATCTGGAAAACGGACTTATAAAATAAAAAAAGGGTTCATAATAAAATAATAACGACACATATATCATATCGTTTGAACTTACATATGTTCGCCGTTCGGTGTTAACTACTTACTTATGTTCCCCCCCCTCCTTCTTCGGGGATAAACAAAGAGGCTATAACCCTATCGTCATTGGAGATACAGTAACCTCAATATTTTGTACCGTAAAATGAAATATAAGTATATCAGTAATTTCTATGTTAAAGTTGTCTTTTATTTCAGAAACAATGAAATGCCTTAATGATGAACTGTTGTTGCACATAACATATCTACATACTTACATAAATTTAATAATGCAACGGATGCATATAGAATTCATTGACATTAAGAAATATTTAAACTTAATGTCAAACTGCAATCTCCGAAGATGCCAAATTCAAAATATCGCAATTAAACATTTTTAATAAATAATCATCATAATCTATCTTCACGGAACTGATGAACTATGAAAGTATTAATCACCATGCTTACTCAAGGCGGAATGGCGATTAGAAATGACAAGTCCAGATTTAAGATTACGAGGTTTTCCTTCACCTTATGTCGGTAATGTCTAAATACATATAGAAAGTACATCTATTTGGAGTACATCAATCCCTCCCCCTCCCCCATCCCTTCTCAATCCTTAAATATCCTAAACCTTTATCCCTAAAAGCCCGGTAACGCACTAGACAACAACTCCCTTGTGTTGGGTCGATTCCTGCATGGAACAACTCTTTGTGTGATCCACAAATTGTTGTTTCGGGTCTGGGTGTCATGTGTGGGTGAATTTATTGGTTTGTAAACGCACCTACAGCTCAGTAGAAGGCTTAATGAGGAACAACGTTTTTTATTAAATGCCAAGTTTCGAGCCTTCAATCATATGCTTCAAAAGAAACGCATTAACCTCTGGGCTAGCACGAGTGATAGAAACACCGGATACCAAGAATATAATAATAAAATTCATACACATCTATAACCATATATCTTTTTCCTAATATTTAATCGTCATTATATGATCCTGTAGGTACTAAAATTATAGTAAAATATAAAATAAATTATTTTTAACAACTCCTGCCCTGCTCGATGCAAAAGGGAGTTTTTAGTCAGTAAAAGACACTGTAACCCCATTCAGGGCGGCAGAAGACATTGAATTTCCTTAAAAATATGTCGAATAGCTTATCTATATACACTATTGAGAAAATCGTTATCTGTCAGTCTGTTCGTCAGTAAAGTTAGAAAAATTACAGAAGGTCAACCGTACCTGGTGCAACAAACACGTGTAAAACTGGAACGTGTAAATAGAGTTAGCACGTGGAATTTCTAGCATCTATTTATATGATGATTTTACAATTGTTATGGGAAAATAGTTTCTATGTTCTGCCCATGAGAACTGATATTACAATGCAAATTACTTTATGTTTACTTTGTTGCTTACTGAAAATCAGCAGATGAATTATTTAAAAACAAAACGAAATGTAAGCAAATTTTGGATGAAAAAATTAAGTATGATCTGCTCAGTTAGGTATTAAGAGGTAGATTAGTTTAATAAACTAGATAAATTAAAGAAAAAAAAAGTTTTTATTTTTCACACAATAAAATTTCAATGACAATTTAATAATTTAAATTAACCTAGCAATACAATAGTGATATACATTTATTTACGTAATGAATAAATTGCCTGAATATAAAATAAAATAACGTTGGAATATATTTAATTTGATTGGGTGTTTTATTAATTTGTTTAGTCATCGTAATAGCTGTTGGTGGGTCGACGAGAGACTGTCAGTACGGAGCGATCATCGGGACAAGGCGTTTGCTTGTAATCTGTAAAGAAATAATATTTAATTAAATAAATAAAAGACTCGCGACGACATTGTATAGTATAGACGATAAAATCCTGTTCTTGCACTAATAGTTGGTACAGTCAGGGGTCAAAAATGCAATTACACTCTACCAATTTTAAAATGACCAAATCATCTTTGTAGAATAGAGTCAATGGTTGAGGACTGCTTTAATTTATAGCATAGAATCTAAATTATTGAATAAACTGGTTGTGAACCATTGATTTTTGACTCCAAAGAAATTTTAGTCATTTTAAAATTGGTAGAGTATAATTGCATTTTTGACCCCTGACTGTACCTATACCTAAAAGGTTGGAAGTAAAAGTGGGAAGGTCCACAAAAATACTTGACCATAAAAGTTAAAGTTAAAACCAAAATGTTTTGACTTTGACTTTGACTTTGACGTAAAGTCAAAGTCATAATATCAAGTTTCGAAGCAGATCTGCCTTGTGGTGCTTATTGCTCAAACCTTTTCCGTGTCGGAAGAGGCCTTTGCTCAGCACTAGGCTGCTGAGCTGATAAGCTGATGATGTGATATGTGATGTAATCTATATTAACTTAAGCAATTTACGCCATTATGTTAGCCTGAAAGGCACCTTCTAACTCAAAGCAAAAATGCTAAAAATATCTCTAAATATTACTTGTGAATATCTATATGTTCGTTCTCTCTAGTGCCTTCAAAAAGGGTTGTTTTGACACGACATTCAGATCACGTAAATAAATATTTACCTTCTAACGGAGAAGGTAAATAAGGTAGTCACATATTTTGTTTGTTCCTATTTCTGTTTTTTGGAAGGAAAATTATTTCGATGTACATAACTTCAAGGGTGTCATTGTCTGAAAAGTACTTAAGCTAGAAGTAATGTTATTTTGATAAAAAAGGTTTTTCCTTTATCCTATTATTGTTTTGTTTCTATTGCATTTTTTGCTTTGATATTATTTACAACATCTCTAATTCTGTTTTGTATATATTGTACAAGTATCCGCACAAAACCATACTTTGTGTGTTCCATAATTTGTTGCTTCATGTCTGGGTGTGATGCTTATGTGAATTTGTATGTCTGTAAGATACCCACGACGCAGAATAATATCCAAGTGTAGAGCTACATTGTTTAAAATAGAAAGAGAGAAGAAGGCATTTTCTTTCTTTAAACCTTATTTTTTTCTTTCTTTTGACAATGCATCTATATTATCAACCTTAACGGTTCTTTGGAATTATTTAAACCTTTCTAAAACGGGTAAGCTTTAATGCAGCACCTACTGCTAATGAAGCGTCTATCAATGTGGCATCTATTAATCTATCTAAACACGTGCTCACGATCAGTTGGTGCTTTCAAGCAATTAATGAATTGAACGTGGTACATTATTACTTTTATTCACAGAGTTTATTGTCAGATCTAAACTAAAATTACTATGGCCTTTTAGAGATAAGGGTTTCAGATAATATCACTCACATGACAAAACACAACGCTGTGGTTGTTGAAAGCCGGTTTTCTGTAAGGCTGTTGTATCATTCCGGTCGAGTCGACCCACCTGTGCTGAAGCTTTGCTCTATCACACATAAATTGGTATACTCTTGTCTTACTGCTGGACAAAAACCACCCTTTATTCCAATTTCTTCTTTTTGGTAAATTTTTTTGGCCGTTAGTCTAAATTTTTGTTGACATTGAGTGGGTTCCATTCGATTTTGAATTACATGTTAGTTTTGTAGGTTTGATCAAACTCAGCAATATTAATATAAAATTGAGACAATACTTACTCCTCCTTCTGATGCAATTGTAGTCAAACATGTCGCAGAGATCCCTGAACCCTACGATGTCTCCAGCGTGGCTCACTCCGCAGATTGGCACGCGGTCGTGGTTGCAAACTTTCGCCATACTGCACCATTTAGCTCCCAGCTGTAACATAACATAAAAATATAAAAGCCACAGATATAGCTCAATATGAGCTGCATATATTATGTCAAATGTTAACTTACTAAACGACATGTTCGGGGCTTGTCCTGAAAATCAATACGATAGTCAGTCAAAAATAGACAGGATATTTTTTTATAAGAATTCTAAGATTTTTTTTCTTTTGACAATGCATCTATGTTTTCAACCTTAGCGGTTCTTTGGAATTATTTAAACATTTCTAAAACACGTGAGCTTTAATGCAGTTCCTTCTGCTAATGAGGCGTCCATGTATGTGACAATCCCTTAATCTACCTTATTACATGCTCATAATCAGTTGGAATTGGAATAGAATTATTTAAAATTCTATTGATATCTTCTAGAATTATTTAAAAATGTTCCTGAGATTTGAACATTATGTCCTACAGGACATGCTAGTTTTTGTAAGTTGGAGGTCGGAAACTTTAATAAAAGGAGTTGAAAGGAATGGGCGGCTGGCCAAAAAACTATCAATAAGATTTTCTCATTTGAGAGATATTATAGAGACTAGTCGTGGTGGCCCGGAGGTTAACGGGCCCGCTTCTCATGCTTGAGGGTGTGGGTTCGAAACCTGACAAGTACCAATGGTACTTTTTCCGAGTTATATGTACTTTCTATAACTATTTAGACACCACTGACATACGGTGAAGGTAAACATCGTGAGGAAACCTGGACTTATAATTTATAATTATAAGTTTGAAATCGCCAACCCGCATTGAGCAAGCGTGGTGATTAATGCTCTAACCTTCTCCGTATGAGAAGAGGCCTTTGCTCAGCAGTGGGCATTTATAGGCTGATGATGATAGACACTAACTTGCTTAAGTTCCGCCTAGCGCTATGCTAGAAGAGTTACTCGATTTGTGTTAAATACTCCAAAATATTTTTATTATAACAACAACATAATGATTTGTCAATAATTAAACAATAAAGGGGTTGAACCAATAAAATATGCCCCCTACGTTACTGTCCTAGAAAGGACATTTCTCTCCAGCTTTTTGGGTACTTATAACTATAATTTTACTTGTACAAGATGTATATAACCAGGAAACAAAGATACTTCAGTAAATAATGCTCAAACATGGCAGGGTGTCATGGCAGCGAGCCAAACTATAACGATTCGTGGTTCTCACTTGTACCAGTCTCTGATAGCCGTTTATGAACACATGCTCCTGTTGGAATAGAAGTAATGGTTGACAGTTTACAATGTCTAGAATATTGTTAGTATTAAAATATTGTAGTAATAGTTAAATGGTTAAATAGTATATTTTAATTTATAGGTTGCAAAGCGATAGCAATACAAGAGTTTTTTTACAAAGTCACTTTAAATACGTGTGGGAGAGCCATGCTTCGGCACGAATGGGTCGGCTCGACCGAAGTGATACCACGGCCTCACAGAAGACCGGCGTGAAACAACCACAGCGTTGTGTTTCGCCGTGTGAGTGAGGTTACCGGAGGCCCAATCCTTCTCCGCCCCCAATCCCTCCTCAATCCCTCCTCAATCCCTAAATATCCAAATCCCTAATCCCTAAAAGGTCGGAACGCACTCGTAACTCCTCCGTTGCGGGTGTCCATGGGCGGCGCTGATTGCTTACCATCAGGTAATCCATCTGCTCGTTTGCCGACCAATTACATGTAAAAAAAATACATACATAATGATAAGGAAAAAAATTGATTTCGGTTATATTATGAAAATTGAGGAAACAGATTTTTTGGACAGCTTAAATTGAAGAAGAGTTCAAAGCTGAAACTGTTATATAGTTAAAATTGTATCAAATGAAAAACAATTGATGTACAGTACTTACCGAATTTCCCAAAAACATAACATTAGAAACGCTTTTCTACATTTTGTAGGTACATAATATTTACTAAAGAAAATTGTTAGTCAAAACTTTTATAGTTCAAACAGAAACTACACTATAAAGTGAGTTAGTAAAGATATTGGCTAAGAAAAACAACTCAATCATGTGAATGAACTGAGAAAAGCTCTATCTACCAGCAGCTGATCAGTTTCGTAGGCTGCGACGTTGCTGTATCGCATACGCCGCGTCGCTAATGAATAAAAGTCCCATTGCGACTTGAAACTATACTCGGAATTTTAATTCCATTCCAGATTTGACAATTTCAGTGTTGCAACGTAATAAATAGTGACGTTGCGAAATTATTCGATCTGGAAATCGAATATTTCCGAATCGATTTCTTTCGTTTATAAATTTACTCTCGTAAACTAAGTTTATCAGGAAATTAAATATTTCTGAACCGATAATTTAGTTTTGACAATTAATTAACGATCTGAGACTTTTCTTTTGTAATTGTGTGTGAAATTAATAAAAAATGTGATCATGAAGGAACGTGACAAATAAAACAGACATTTTATAAATTGTCGCCATCATCACTATCGCTATCGCGGTTACTCTATGTAACATTTATTATAAATTGTGTCTTTGATATTTATTGTCAATTAACATATCTAGCTTACTCATTTTTTCCTCTTCTTTGAAAACATGGGATACACATTTAGACCATTCGGTAGCCGTAATTTTTTAAATGCCTTCCTGAAACTGATTCACTGATTGTTTATCGATTTTTGTGTCCACTACACTGTTATATGTGGTATCATTATTTCACAAAATGACAGTGTTCAATGTCAAATCAGGAATCGAATTAAAAGTCTGACTATAGTAGAGCTTTTCTCGTAAATAAGTCGTTATTTTCAATGAATTTAGTAATTGTCTACATTGTTAATGGCTGATTTTTTCCAATGGTTAGATAAAAGTTACCTGGGCAATAATTATAATGCTGTCGCGTCAGAATGTTTGTATAAGACAGTGACAGCAACAATTTTATTCCTCAGATAACATTTACCTGACTATTGAAAAATCAGCCCTAAGAAGTAGAATGTACTTGTTATGAAATAGAAGTAATGTCGCAAATTACTTTTTTTACCTTTCTCCCCATAGCAATGTCTTCGCTATCTCTTTCCTTTGGTGGTCCGTGAGCCTCCGTCATGAGTATTATACAAAATACGACACAGAACACTGAAAATGTCACTTATTAATTTAATATTTTATTATTAATCTTTTACCTTCAAAATAACTTATTTTTATTCTACCTTAATTTAGTAAGTTAAATAAGTCATTTATTTAGAAAAAAATATTCGAAATACAGACTGTGGGTGGGATTTATTAGATTTCTCGATTCTATAATTTTCCTTCCTCTAATTCCGATATATACTGACCGTTGAATGTGGAAAAAGATCGTACTAAGCAAGATCATGATAAAGTGGTAAGTTTAGCTTGATTTTTCTCCTTTAATCCCAGCCTCTATAACTTGGAACTCATAACATACCTACCAAACCAGAGAAATGTGGGTGTTACATTTAAAATCGGTTGTTCTGCCTACACAGAACAACACGAGATGTTGTTATGATGTAGGTTGTTGCCTACATAACTACCTACGTTGTTGGAAACTACCTACAATGTTAACGTAACAGGGTAGTTCGAAAGTTTCGGCTCTTTTCCGAAAAGCGAACAGATGTTGAAATGTTAGGGACTTGGCAACCTGCCCAGCGCGGTGAGAAACGTACCAACTTTTTAAAACATGGTTTCGTTCCAACAAATTTAAAAGTATTTTTATGTGACAGGACAGGCAACTGGTAGACGTGTTACCTGATGGTAAGTAATCAGTGCTGCCCAAGTGCATGCGCACGTGGACACGAGCAACACCAGATGAATTTATGGCGTTTTGGGGATTAAGGTTTCGGAGATTTAAGGGATTGGGTTGGGGAAGGCTTTGGCTTTCGGTACTGTCACTCACACGGCGAAGTATATAGTAGATTCATGATGAATTAATTTTGAGTAAATGAGAAGATTCTTATCTTCTTTATATTTTATAAGTAGTTACTAAATTGCAAATCACTTTAATTCAAAAGTCATGTAAAACAGAACAGTAACTATTTCTGCCATTACGACAACTAAAATATAGGACATTGATTGTCATTTGTTGATTGTCTAAATCATTTTATTATATTTATTTATTTAATTATTTATGCACATCACACACAGTAAATAGAGAACAAATACAGAGACAGAGGTACGTAGGTTATAAGCTAATTATAAGGATTCTTACCAAAAATTTTGCTGGGCGACATATTAGGTACTCTGTCTACAAAACGTGTTCACTCGAAGGACACAATGCAAATGACCAATTAGTGTTTATCTTATCCATAGACTCTAGAACATTCCCTATTGTTTATATGTTTAGCAAAACTTCCGTGAATTCCTTGAATGAGATATAATTTTGTAAATATCATGCAGTTGCATAGAATTGTAAACTTAGATATACAATATAAGTACATTGTATTATTATATATATTATGTTGTTGCTGTAACAATATACTTTTGACTGTTGATCGCTTGCAGAAAATGAAGCGGAGTAACTTGAATTAATATTGAATACTTACTTTCCAAGATAGCGATCTGTACATTTTGTTAATACTAATTCGTTTAGGATTTTCTGATCGGTATGCGGTTTTCATAATCTGGCTTAAAGATTTTTTGTTATGTGATAGGAGGTCAAACGCAACACTAGAGGAGATACGCGTGCGGTCCATAGGAATAGGGTTTTGGCGATTTACACGCTGTGCTTATTTCACGATGATTTACTGTAGGACCTTGGTATTACTTCGGTCGAACCGACCCATTGACACCCAAGCGTTTTTACCACACTTAAAAGATTTTCTGATTGAAGGTTTGGTTTAAAAACAACAAAAAATATATTAGGTATATTGACATTTTGAAAAAGGAATTCGAAAATCGAAATATTGACGATCATTTTAGATGCCATCACAACTTTTTCGAAAAGTACATAAATTGTGGTTGCCACTTCAAGGAAATAGCATCTGGCTAGATATATTTGAGAAAACTTTACACCTTGTGGCTAGGAAAACTTGGAATCGGGATCTAGTTACAAGTTTCCTTGAAACTGTTTCACCGTAATTTTGTAACAGTTTTGGCGATATTGCAACTATCGAATCCATGCTGAGGGAAATTATTAAACCTATTAAACTATTAAGTTATGATTTACTAGCTTTTGCCCGCGACTTCGTTCTCGTGGAATAGTGACTTCTTGCACATTTTTGGTTTTCCCCACTGTTCCTGATCTCGCGATTGTTTAGAAGCTCCCGCTCCCGCGGGATTTTCGGAATAAAAGCTGCAAACTATGTCTGTTCCAAATTTCACGAAATTTGGTTATGTAGTTGAGGCGTGAAAAAAGACAGACAGACAGTTACTTTCGCATTTATAATATTATAGTTTGGATAACTTTATGCATTTCAAATTGTACCTACATCTGATATAAAAATATAGTTTGCATTATAACGAAATCCAAATTATTTAAATTTAATTTACAAATTACTTTCCCAGCTTATAAGTCAGTACTTTCGCAACAATTATTGTAATTCAATAAAAAAAATATGTCACTCATTAAAGTAAGGAAATCTACATTAATTTATTGTTATAGAATTGTTAGATAATCTTTGTTATTATATCAGGACTGAATGACGACATAATTAATCATAAAAATACGAGTCTGTTTGTATTAGCGTTTATTTATTTAGCTTAATGTTAGCATTAATTATAAATAACGTAGCCTTTTTGACTTTCAATGTCAAATTTTAGCCAGACATACGCCAGTAGGTATGACCTAGATAATTCAATTAGCGTACTTTTTTTTGTAAATGTATTATATCACAGGATGTTATTACATTTTTATTGTAATACGTAATTAAGTGAATGTAATTAATATCATTGTAATCGGAGTTTGCAAGGACATAGACAGTATTAATATCAATCCATTTTTTTAATGATTTTTTTACTTGAATGTTGATGTTTAAATATAAAAGTGAATGTACTTAGTTTCATTTACATTTATAAGTATCTAAGTATGTATATTAAAAAAAATCGGTATTTACTTTTAAGCTGTACTTTCCGTTGAAATAAGGAATATAAATTTAGTATATAATATAAAAATTAAAACTAGAAATTCTTCTCTTACGTTAACAGTTCTTAAGTACTCAAAACAGCCGCAGTAAGTGGCACAGTAAGTAAGCCCTACACGTATGTTAGGGTTGTCTCGCTTCTTTCCTTAATTGGTGGATCATAAATATTGAGACTATGAAATGGTTAAATTTAACAATTGCGTTTTTACCCGTTGCTGGCAAACTTAGGACCAGTCTATGAGCCGTTGTATGCAAATCTGTGGCTACTATATTGGATTTTGGATTGGCCCTCCGGTAACCTCACTCTCACAGCGAAACACAACGCTGTGGTTATTTCACGCCGTGGTATCGTGATATCATTTCAGTCGAGCCGACCCATTCATTATCTCATTCAAGCATGGCTCTCCCAACCTTATTTTCACTATTATTATTTATAACTGTATAACTAATTTAACGTATACTGTACTCATTTTCATAATGAAAGCTTATCAAAAAGGCAGTGACCTCTCCTAGTCTGGACCGACTAAATTTCGAGGCGACGCCAAAGACATGACGTCATTAGGTTTCAAGAAACAAATGACTAACATACTGAGTCATTCAACTGTTTGTAACTTTTACGTGATCGTTAATGTATGTATATGATCTAATATCACTTATCAAATTACTTTTCTCGCTCAGGGTGAGGCGAGAGGAGGTGTCAGACTTTTACTGACTAAAAACCTCCCCGTTCCTTCGCCTGCTCTGGGCCGAGGCCTTATTACGCTTGCCTCGCAAACCCGACTGAACCTCATAATTATGATACTCAAGTGCCGTTTTATAGAAATTTAAATTAATTAATATTATCAACATCAGCATCATACTGCTTTGGTATTGTTGATATCAAGATTTCCCTTTCGAATTATATCTAAGTACAGATTTGTCTTGTGACCAATAGCTAATAGCGATTCAAACCAAAAAACAATTGGGGGTTTCAGTCCAAAAGAAATCATCCTGATTTTTGATCTTTTTAGATATATTCCGTGCTTAATTCGCATATTCGAAATTAATAATCACCTTATAATATTTGCCGCCTCTTCCTTTATCTATTCCTCTTTCCTTCATTCCTTTCAGAATCAAGAATGTGTAACGCTTGAGGATATTCTAGTGTCGTGTTACTCATCACAACGTCACACTTTTTGTGCTTTTGAAAGGGACAGTGGTACCTATACTGAATATTTTGCTTTTCATTGTATTAGTCACATGATCAAGGGTCAGTTAGTTGCTTTACGATTTTGAATTGGCAATATGTAAGCGCTATATATATTGCATTGCTATGAAAGTTCTAAGTTTTGTGCCATAAAAAAATTGAGATTATAATCTATCTAAATAATAAATCTGTAGAGAGGTCAAAAAATATATTTTCAAAATAACTACCATGGGGTGATAAATGATCGATACTGATGCCAAAAATGCAATCAGTAAAATTTTTGTCTGTCTGTCTGTCTGTATGTTCCTTATAGAAACAAAAACTACTCGACGAATTTTAACAAAACTTGGTACAATTATTATATATACTCCTGGGCAGGTTATAGGATACTTTTCATCACGCTACAAATAAGAGGAGCAGAGCAGTGAAGGGAAATGTTGGGAAAACGGGAGAAGTTACTCCTTTTCTTAAGTTTCTGTCGCGTGTGTAGCCTTAAGTTACATAGAAATTATGTATGGCGGAAATATAAAATATAAAAACAAAATAGTTATACAGCATATATCAATCTTTTATGGTTAACTCACAATAGCACGTGTAACTCCTGATACCTTAGCAGTTCGGATAATAACCCATCGCGCTGTCGCATTTGAACACTGAATCATGCTATAAGGATTATTTTCGTGTAACGGTTGCCGCGCTCGACGCGACGCGGTTTAACCCTACATTACTACTCATGTTGCGACGAACAAAGAAACTACTCATACGCTTGCGAGGCGCATCATATTTACTAATGATTTTATTAAAAACCTTTAAGTATGATTGCTG